AGGGCTCCCCTGGTGCACCACAGCCTTTAAAGCAGCTTGAATTTATTGTGGCTCTTAAGCAGCCCAGGCTAACGGCTTGGCATGGATAATGTCTCGGTTTAATTGGTTATCGTGCAAGCCACTTGTTTCTCTACTGTGGAAGCCCTTGTCCCTGCCTGCAGAGCCATCCCTCACCGACTCCTGGAATCGATACGGCCCTCTCTCAGGCCTGCCTCGCATGCAGCTGCCGCTACAACAGGGAAAGGAGCCTGTCTCCCAAAGTGGGTGCCTGCTTGGTGATGCTGTCATTGGGGTTCGCAAGCATGCCAACATGCATGTTCCCATGCAGGACGGGCCGCAGACACCACTGTGGGTAACCAACCACTGAGAATGTCTTTTTTTTTTTTAAAAGATTTATTTTTATTATTTTTTTATTGGAAAGGCGGATATACAGAGAGGAGAGACAGACAGGAAGATCTTCCGTCCAATGATTCACTCCCCAAGTGAGCGCAACGGCCGATGCTATGCCGATCTGAAGCCAGGAGCCTCTTCCGGGTCTCCCACGCGGGTGCAGGGTCCCAAAGCTTTGGGCTGTCCTCGACTGCTTTCCTGGGCCACAGGCAGGGAGCTGGAAGGGAAGCGGGGCTGCCGGGATAGAACCGGCGCCCATATGGGAACCCCGGGCGTGCAAGGCGAGGACCTTAACCACTGCACCACCGCGCCGGGCCCGAGAATGTCTTTTTAAGATCAATTTGGAGGGTTGGCATCAGGACTGCATGAGAAAGTCAGAAATGTATATGCTGTCATGTGAACAGGAGCGACGCCTTCAATGCCACAGGTGCATTCAATCAGATCCTAAACAAGCTGCCAGAGGGAAGACCACTTCCCCAAAGTAGGTGGGTGGTATTTGGATTTCGCAGAACAAAAAGCCTAAGATGATCTTTATTTTTATTATGGCATTTCTTTCCAAGGTCACGACATTTCTCTTAAGTCTTCCTAAATCTCTTGACCTTAAATATATTTTGTTGTTATTTTCTAGCAAGGTGTGGGAAATACCTTAACCTTTGTGGGCCAAAAGCCACTGTCTGGATGCTGGTTTAGGCTGAGTACACTGCTGTGGTACGGCACTGACATGTTGAACGCTCAGCCCTGCAGGCCAGGAGCAGCTGGACACAGAGACGTGTCCATGTGTCTCTGAGCCTGTCTTGGTTCTGGCAGCCCTCGGGGCCACACTGATGGTAAATGAAAGTTCCCAGGAAGATTAAGGAGAGGAAAATGTTCAACTGTGAAGCCATGTCTCATTGATTTGTATGTCTGTTATTTTTATGTCCTATTACGTATTGGTGTCATCTATATATTCACCCAAATGATTTCATGCAAAAGGAATTCGGAAAATCAAACTTTACAAAGTACAATTTACACCATGTTTTATTGTGGAATTTGCTATAGCAGATTTAAAACTGTAATGCTTGCAATGTAATGTTAAACGCTTTCTTAGCCTGTCAACTGGACTGGTTGCCTCGGTCTCCAGCCACACCATTCACACGGGGGATTCACTGCCTGGGACAAGGCAAGCCAGACTCTGTGTGTAGATTTAGATTATTATAGTTTCAAAAGAGTTCTTTTCTTTACCAGTTGATATTTGTGAAATTCATACTGGACTATTATTAATAATCATGTAGTCTTTTGCTTTTTCTTTTAATGTGTGATGTCAACTTGAAGTTGAACATGCTGAGTGCAATGTTATCAGTTGCTACTTTTCCAAGGAAAAACGTCAAATATAAGATGCTTTCCTCCTCCTCCCCGCCCCTCCCCCCAGGGTGCTGGGGGAGGAGATTGTGGATCTGGAAGGTTGTAGAGTGGCATTCACAATGAGCCTTGGGGACAAGAAAAGACAACATTAGGACTCCTGCATATTTATCTTAGCTCATAAGTTGAATTTTATGTAAGTTTTATAACACACTATGTTAGCCCACCGATGTATTAATATAGACCTCTAACGTACAAGGAAACATAAAATGCATTGACTGCTACAACTGAATCAGAGCCCTCTGCTCCCGGAGTACTGGCATGCTGATACGAAGTCTATCTTTCACCAGAGTTCATGTCCAATAGAAGGGAAGAAAGGAGAACACTCCCAGCTCTGTGTCACTCCTAGTAATAGAAAGGCGGAGCCCTTACACATATGACAGGAGTATGTTCTCTAAGCCCACTGTCTTAAAAAATAACATATTGCTTGTTCCTTTCTCTAAGGAAAAACAAACAAATAAAAACAAAAACCTCTCCAAACCAGACACTGTATCATGATTTTTGAGGTCAAGGGCTGAGTCATATGTTTGGGCTACCTCCAATTCAGACTCAAGACATGGTATTGGATTCCCCAACTTCAAGGTCATGGCCAATAGGCAGTTTAAGTTTAATTCAGTGGCCTTCGCTGCCAAGAAAGATAATAATGTTCTCTGAATCCTCTGGCAGTCTACGTTGATTGTAGGGATGGGTGTGGTTTATACATTGTTGGGTACAATTACCTCCCAGAATACAATGCATCTTCTTTGAGACATCCCAGGGAGATAATTTGGACATAATGAAGATCTATAGTAATCAGATAATTACTATCGATCGCTCTTTAGACGTCTTGATGAGGTAATTAGGGCATACTGGAAAGGAGCTAGGACTGATTGATTGGCATGACTGTAATCTCAAAGATTTCTAATTATGTTTCTTTTCTTCTAATGGCTTATAAACAAACATCATTTTAGCTTCAGAATTTGTCAGGTGCCAGGTTCACTGGGAACACCAGCTTTCCCTATTATGCTAACTAGACACTGAACATCATCAGCATAAGCTCATTATGCCTTCCTGCTGAAGCAGAAGAAACTGCAATTAACCCTCACGTTTCTCAGGCTGCTGCATTTCCACATGGCCCAACTCTAGGCCAGGATGGAGTGCACAGTGCTGGGCTGGACACTGTGTAAGGTGCATGTGTGTCGGGTCTCTGTGGCCTGCTGGGCACCCATGGAGTCAGCTGAGGTGCTAAAATAGCAGTCAGATCATCAAGATTCAGCACATGTGACAGGGGGCTGGTTGACAGTGGTTAGGGACTAGCTGACTGCTCAGGCCCCTGTCACAAGTAGTAGCTACTCATTAGGAAGTGATGGTAAACAGCGGGTCAGTCCTGCTGTGCAGCTGGATAAGATACTTCCTATATCAGTGAGCTCTTGCTTTACAGCTTCCATTAGACACTAATGAGGGGACTCCCTGTCAGAGACCACATTCCACATTACCCTAATATTTCCTACACCTTTTAAGACCTCTCAGCAGTGTGTAGTATTCAGAAGAATGGCCTGTTCATTGATGATGGATGCTAAGGACCACTAAGTGTGAAGTGTGCAACGAGCTGTTTACTTGTAGCCAGTGGTGATGGGAAGCTGCACTGGGCAACAAGGCCGATGGTTAGAATTCATGCAGTAGATACAATGTGGGTGCGCTTTGGAGTATGAGGTGATCTGGTTCCCAGACATGACAGTCTCCACTCTAACCCATCCACACTTGAGAGCCTGGTAGGTACTCAGTATACTTGTGAAGCATCCACATGAACACTTGTGTTCTTGAATTCCTCACTTTCTGTTGAGTAATTACCAAGGAAGAAAATCATATTTTGCTTTTCCATTTTAGAGGTCATATCCATCCAATTCCTGGACCCATAGCTTTAAAAAATCACAAGCTTCCTAAAGATTTGTGTCACTACATCTTTCAAGAAGGAGAGGAGTAAATACACACTGGTGAGATGGACCCCAAAGGAAGTCCAGGATATTTGATTTCTCCATAACTTATCGTGTGCTGTTGTCAGGATAATTACAACTGTGATTTGAAATGCTTTATTAATTCCGTTAACTAGCTTGAGAACAAAAGCATATATGAAATTTATCTTTGTATTATATCTTTATAGCATAGGCACACAGCAATTTTTTTTATCAGAATTTGAAACAAGGTGTTGCTTTTCAAACTTAATGTGAGCTAATGTTGGGTATTGCAAAACTTTCCTAAATTGTATCAGTATATTTTCCTGTTATAGGACATACACTGAATACATTCTAATGTTTCTAAAATAATTAGAAATTCTTCAGTGGCATTTTAAGCAGCATTCCTATGATCTTAATTCTACACATGTGGAAATTATAGGAGATATTGAATTAATATCTAAAACATGTTCAACTTTTTCGTTTGTTGGTTGACTTTATCAATCAAGATGCAGGTTTTTTTTGTTTGTTTGCTTGCTTTTGTGTGTGTGTGTTATCTGGCCACTTTCCTGAAAGTTAATTGAACACCAATTTTAATTTTTTTAAAGATTTTATTTTTATTGCAAAGTCAGATATACAGAGAGGAGGAAAGACAGAGAGGAAGATCTTCCATCCGATGATTCACTCCTCAAGTGACCACAACGGCCGGTGCTGCACCAAGCCGAAGCCAGGAGCAGGGAACTTCCTCCAGGTCTCCTACACAGGTGCAGGGTCCAAAGGCTTTAGGCCATCTTTGACTGCTTTCCCAGGCCACAAGCAGGGAGCTAGATGGGAAGTGGAGCCACCAGGATTAGAACTGGTGCTCTTATAGCATCCTGGCATATTCAAGGCGAGGACTTGGCTGTTAGTCCACCATGCGGGGCCCGAACACCTATTTTCTTATTTGCTTATCTACATTTTTTATTTTTTTGTTTTAACTGAGGGTTCTTTTAATTTTGAGTTCTGAATGTGTGCTATTCGCTCATACCTGATTGCGTGTGATACTTCTTGGTGGCTAAGATAAACAACTACTAGGTTTTCTCCATTTGGCACGATGTAGATTGCAGGCATACAGTTGGTCAGAAGAGGCTTAGCCTACAACAATTGACCAGTGCTTCCATCTGAGGGTCGCAAGGCTGCCAAGGTGGAACCTTGCATGGTGGAGAGGTTTGCTCAGCTCACCCGAGAGCTGCTGAAACTGAAGCAGTACAGTAACATGCTCTTCCTTACCTGTCACTTCAGGAAGTTCTGCAACTTGAGAGACAGATGGGAGGACAGCTTCTAGAAGATCCCAAGGCTCTTCATTTTAAAGGCAGCACCCACAACCTACGCCTTTCGATTCATGACATCGCCCATTCCCTCTGGAAGAGCAAATTGCTGGCAAAGTATCAGGTAGGCTTCCAGATGTACTACACCCTTAACAGCTGCAACAAAGAAGAATCCCAGACGCTTGGGCCACCTTCTGCTGCTTTTCCCAGTTTAGTAGCAGGAAGGTGCATGGAGAGTGGAGCAAGCAGAACACAAACCAATGCCCGCGCATGTTGTTGGCATTGTAGGCAACAATATTACCCACTATCCCACAATGGCTATTTAGGACATTAGAAAAATATCTGGACAATATTAGGACATTTGAAAATAAGCATATCGAAAGGGATGCTTTGAAAAATTTTGTGTAATGTTCATATACACATTGCCTGTTGATCAGAATGGCAGTCCAGACACTGATAACCTACATCTGAGTACCCGAGTTTGATACCAGTGATTCCCTTGACAGCTTCTTGCTAAGAAGACAGAAGCTGTGAGGCAGCTATGATGGCTCACAGAACTGGCTTGCTGCCACACACATGGGATACATGGGTTGGCTTCCTCTGTCCCAGATTTATTTTCAGCCCACACCCTGTTGGGGGTGTTTAGAGAACAGACCAGTTTTTTGGGAACACTCTCTCTGCCTCTCTAATAAACAAGTAAATAAACAAATTTAAGTTTCACATAACTGTGCTACAACTTTTCATTTTTAATACCTAAAAGGCTTTCAGTACTGTCATTTCAATCCATTTTCACAGTAGATATTCATAATCAGTTGATTTTTCTTAATGGACTGAATTATAATAACATGGTAAAGAGAAGGAGGATGTTGTTCTCTGCAAGTGCCACACATGAAGTTTTAGCCCTTACAAAGAAAATGAGGAAGGAACTCCTGTTTGGGACTGAAATACACAAATAAAAGTCAGGGTTTTATTCAACAGCCAGCCTAAAAGTGTTAGTGCCCAGTCTCACTGTACGGGCCTATCGGAATCTGACTGGACTGGTCCCTGGCTTGCCCCTCCTGCACTTCCCCTTCATCCTCCTCCCCCTCCAGCAGTCAGCCTGAGCTCTCGGACAGACTGTTTTGATGGAATTTCAGACCTCTCTCCCACTCCCAGAAGGGGCAGACATATTCAGGGAGGCTGTAAACCTGTGTCTACATGCATGTTGATATAACCCAAGTTCAGCAGCCTCCTTTTTTGCTCTCTGCTAAGGTGAGTCCGTGAATAGAAAGACTGACTTTCCAGGTCCATCCCTGTTTCCCTGTGTCAAGTACTTATGTTTGAAGTAAGGCATGCAGCCCCAACCTCACCATCCCACCCCTCCACCCAATCCATCAACAGTGGGCAACTCTGGCTGGCCTGCGTGTAGGATTCTGCTCTGTTGATCAGCACAGGATGGAGACAGCCAATTTAGACTGTCTCATCATATCTCTTCCTGTGCTTTCTTCCTACTTGTGTACCACAACTGTCACAACATCTCTCAAATTTCCCCATTTCGATTTCCTTGCGTGCTGCCTATAATGGCAAACACCTTTGTAATAAATGTTAATTTGGTATGCATTCATTCGAACACTGGCTCCATGGTTACCACCTGTAGAACCTTGTGTGACTTTATGTCTTTGAACCCTCAGCTTGTGAACTAGGGGTTCTTCTATTTATCCTGTTGTAAACAGGAGACAGAGGCTTGCAGAGGTTCCTCAGCTTGCCCCAGGGATTCACATCAGCCAGTGGAAGGCGCTCTCAGGCGGAATACGTGGGTCCTGGAGCCTCCGCCTTTCCCCACCAAGTTCACTGCTTTCCATGTAGCAGCCGTTTCTTTCCTTTATTGAAAACAGACATTGGACATGTGCTGTAAGAGAGGCTATACTTTTAGGCAACTGAAGTCTCTTAGAGGTTTGGCAGGTTTTCAGCCAAGGGTTTTCTTGAGGTAACTAATCGAGTTTCCAGGTTCCAGCGGTGGGGGAATCTGGGCTCCCCATGTCCCACACAGGGGAGGGCAGAGACATGAAAGGAAATGGCCTCTGGTCTGGTCCTTTAGGCTTTCTTTGCTTTTCTCCAGAACGGCCCTGCAGGGATTCCTTTTAATGAGCCATTGAGCAGTGACTGGTGTATGTAGGTTTTCTTTTGCACTTTTCTGAACCCTCCTCCTTCATCCCACCCCCTGCAAAAAAAAAATCTTTACAAAGGCTCTTTTTGCAAATGAGATGCAGATGGCAGTGGAACTAGGGGGCTGGATTCAAGACACTGACTCCCAAGGCACGCATCTCAGCTCTGGTTTTTAGCTGTATGACATAGGGGGAGTTATTGAACCTCTTTGGACCTCAGTGCTTGCTTATGAAAATAGGGTCATGGTATACTTGCCCTTAGGGGCTGCTGTGAGGACTAAATGAAGTCATCTGTGTGATGGTAAGAAGGGAGGCCAGTGGCAGAGTGTCTGATGGCACCCACAGTGTGAGGCCCTCATTGATGGCTGACTCTTTTATATCCTATAGGAAATTCCTTTTTATCAAATCTGGAGTGGATCTCAGAGACACCTGCACTGTACCTTCACTCTGGAAAGATTCAGCCTGAACACAGTGGAGCTGGTGTGCAAACTCTGTGTGCGGCAGGTGGAAGGAGAAGGCCAGATCTTCCAGCTCAACTGCACGGTGTCAGAGGTGAGCCGCATGTGTGGGCCTGGGATACCCGCCAGGCAGGGATGCAGGGGAAGCGCAGTCCTAAGATACTGCTTAGGATGCACATATCTCATGTGAAAGTACCTGGTTCAAGTCCAAGTTCCTCTGCTTCCCATCCAGCTTCCAGTTAATGACAATCCTGCATGGCAGCAGGCGGTGGCTCAAATATAGGGAACTTTAATTTCTTGCTTCTTTTGCCTCTACTTTGAAAGAAGGACTCATGATTTCTGTTCTCCCTGCTGCTTCATCCTCCAAACAGCAGATGTGTCCTTTCTCCCCAAGAACGGGAGGAGTTACAGAAATCCAAGTAAAACTGACCCGAGTCTCCTTTTCTTGGCTCTTGGTGCACCTCTGGCTGGCCATTGTTACACATACAAGTTCAGAAATCACACCAGTCTTGGGGTGGGCAGTATGAAAAGGCTGGCTAAGCTACCTCTTGGGATGCCTGCATCGCGCTGGGCAGAGCTGTTTCTTATCCCGGCAGTTCTTCTGAACCGGCTCCCTGCTAATCATCTTTGGAGGCTGCGGAGGATGGCCCAAGTTCTTGAGCCCCTGCCAAACACAGGGAAAGGCTCAGTTAGAGTTCACAGCCCCTGGCTTTGTCATGGCAGAGCCCTGTTAGAGCCAGATGGGTAGTGAACTTGTGGGTGGGAAAAACTCTCTCCTGCCTCTCTGTCACTCTTTTAGATAGATGATAGGTAGATAGATGCAAAAACTTTGGAAAGAAAGTAAAAAACACTCTTTCATCTATCTATCTATATATATATAAATATAGATAGAAAGATACACACATACACACACATATATGTGATTGCTTGTTTAAAACTTTTCTGTAAGGACAAAGTGGTGCCCACAGCCATGTATGTTCTCTTGGAACATGTATGTTCCCAGCTAAAGGCCATGGTTGGGTAGCCAAGGAACCCCCATGCCAGTGAAGGAACAAAGCACGGGGAAGCTAAGTTGTGTGCTGTTAGCTAAGTCCCAGGTGCCAGGATTGTGGCATTGGAAGCTGGTGGGCGCCCGCAGAGCCTGAAAATCCGCCCTCTTTGCTCCCGCACACCCCACCCCCATCCCTGCCCCAGCTGGGTCCGTCGGTGTGTGCACAGAGCTGCTGGGCAGGGAAGCAGGCACCTCCACCGCACACTGCCCTTGGTTCCCACAGCCTGCGAGGTGCGCTAGCCTCGCCTCCTATAGTTCCGGGAGACTTTTGACTCATCAACAACTTTAGTCACAGCCGCTGGTGACATTCATAAGGAATGATCTCGGTGTCAGGGTGCCATGGCAACCGCCAGGGCCCGGGCTATCTCCCAGGCGCACTGCACCACCCCTGCTGGTTGCGGAGGGTGTGTTCACTTTCCAGGCCCAGCAGGTCCGCGAAACTCAATAAGCACCCAGCTCCGGGTACAACAATGGCTGCGGGATTTGGGAAAGGGGCTGTTGGGGGCGGTGAGGTTTGGCCCTTTGAAGCTGGCTCTGTGTTCCGCGTGAACATTGGCTGTGTACTAAACAGTGGCTCAGATGCAGCTACAAATGAAAGACGGCTCCTCTGGGGCTGTGTCCCGCCAGCCTCCTCGCGGAGAAAGCACCGTTTTTGCGTGGTGTGATCGCAGCTGAAGAACTTTCCTTTCTTGTGCCAACACGGAGGAAAGATGAGATCCTGCGCACTTGGCAGCAGTGGGCTCAGACAGCAGCGCTCCTGTCGCGGGGTTGGCATTTGCCCGTGTGTGACAAGTACATTTAACTGGCGGGTGCGGGGGAGGGTGGCCAGCTTGCAGATGACTTTGGGGATTAAGGGGCACTCTATGGCTTTTACTTCTGGGTCACTGAGTACCACTGCTGTGGTTAGCATTTGAATGCCGGTGTGGATCTGGTGCGGATGCCCTGTAGAGCGGCTCTGGGCTGAGCAACAATGGTTTCTGCCCAGTCTTGACACTCTCCCCACTCCTCATCCAAACCTGCCACAGCAGACACCATGTGACAACACACCCTCCACAAAGAGGAAACCAGCTCTATTGGTGGCTGCTTTCTTAGGAACCCTGCTCCTTGCTGGGGTCACAGGGCAAGACAGCAGGTGGGCTGGGATTCCAATTGCAACATGCTACCTCCCAAGCATGGGCTGACTGACCAGGAACTGGCTGCCCCCTACCCATGGCTTCCAGGGTGCTCACCCGCAGTCACAAAATCATGAGGCCCTTGGTGGCTTTTGTTGGCTGGCAGTGAAGGACCTATTGTACACTGCAGAGACCAGGCTCCGCACACACACGGTGATCCCTGCAAGAGCCAGACACTTTTCTCCTTTCTTGGTTCGTTCAGCCAGAAATTCGACAGCCTCTGGTTTTATAGAGAGAAATGTAAGACTGAAAGTAGCTAGAAGGTTAGAAGTAATGGCAGGAATTCATATCAAAATGTAAATGCTGGCAATTTTTTTTTTTTTGTCATTTTAAAAAAGATGTTGGATGAGTCATAACCAGAAAGCGACCCATCACCACCAACAGAGCAGTGACAATAGGGAAGCGGGTGGTCTCTTTGGGCCTTCTGTTAAGTTTTAGCTGTGGCTGAAGACTCCTCAGAAAAAAGTCCCAAAGTGTGGAGTCCTGGGAGGGTGTGGGCATACTCACCCTCCGGCCTTGCCTCAGTTGCCTCGTGTAAAGTGATATAAACATCCACTAATTTATGGGTCTGTTGTGAAAATGGAGTGACTGTTAGTCATGTAAACAGAGCCTGGCTCACAACACATCACCACTGTGTGAGTGATGCCACTGAGGTAACAGGTGGGTGTGTGACCTCTGCCACTCTGATCAGTAGCAGAGCAGGAAACCCAGTCCCACAAGCAGAGAAGTCAGCTTTCCCAAAATATTGCTGTTGTGCATGCGTCTGAACCATGGAAAAAGTAAAGCTTAAGTTCGGGGTGGATTTTCAACCATATAATAAGAGATTTCCAGACAATAATAATTATTGTAATTTCTTCCATTTGCTAGAACTTATAACCTCTAATTAGTGACATGTAGCAATTTTCTGTACCAGAGAACGGTATTCATATGGAAAATAATGCCACTTTTCAACAGCCATTCCTTCCTTATGTATGCTGTTGCCCAGAACCTGTTCAAAATGACCATTGGGAAACTCTCATTTTGTTCTTTTCTTTTGCTTTTTTTTTCAAGTGACTATACTAAGAGTCAAAATGTGAGAATAGGAAGTTATCGTTCCTATGGAGTCCTCAAAATGTCTGCCATGACCACAGCAGCTGCTTGGTTAATGTTGAGAAATCATACGTTTCATTATGGGCATCATAACATCCAAGGCAGATGGCACCAATATCATAAACCACCGTTGTAATAAGCATTGTGTGATAACAAGCGCTAGTTTTACCTGCAAGCCAAGGAAGAAATCATAGCAACTGAAATGAGTGGATGAAATGATAGTGTCAACGTAGACACATATTTTCCCCTCGCTTCCAAAGCTATTGTCAACCAGCTGGAGAGAGAGACAAGAAATGATGTCCTACTGAGCTTTTTTCATCTACACAGAAATAAAGTGGCCCCGGTGTGAGCGCTCAGGTCTTTCATGCACACATGAAATGGTGGTGGTTCTTTTTTTCACTGGAAAAAGGGGGACAGCATGATGGTGGAAGCAGACCTTCCTGAGATCCAGGCCTATCTTTAACCGGCCTTTCGTTCGAGGATGTAAGAGTGAGAAATCATCAAACCCTTTGTGCCAGTGGGTTGGAAGCAAGCTCTGTGTGCTGTAGGGGTGGGCTTCTGTCAGGATCTGGCCTCTTCTATCCTCTCTCTGTCCTAGAAAAATGACCAGTTCTGAGAATGGCAAGAAATATACTCATTTTCAAGGAACTTGAGAACTCTCAGTAAGTCATGCAAAAATATAAGCACTGTGCCCTGGGCACAACAGAAGCAGCAGGAGGGCTGGGAAGCTGCTCCAGGAGACCTCTAATTGCCCTGGATGTTGTGCTAGGGAGGGTTGGGGACAGCCTTGGGGTACCTGCCTTTAGGGCTAGGCAATGAGGAGATTGTCAATGAAGAGCAAAGAAAAGGCAAGAATTTTTAGGGGTGGGTGCATCTTCAGCCATGGCACAGGACATACTGGGTGGTCCACTCCAAGAGCAACATGAATCTCCAAGGATGGGGCAAGCTGACAGGGGCTGGGAAGTCGTGAAAGCACCAGTGCTCCATGCAGGCATCGCCCCTGTGTCCTCGTACCAGCCACCAAGGCAGATAAGAGTGTACAAACATCCTTCCTTCCCTGATTCGTTACTAGTTAGAACTACATGTGGGAGTATGGGGACATAAGGTTTCTGAATGAGGAAACAAGGACAAGAAACGTGGGTGAATGTGAATGTCATTATATACCTTTAGGAACAGTCTGGCAGACAGGCAGGTTGGATCATGGATGAGCAGGGGGGGAACTACTGTGGCCAGTGGTCAGAATGTCAGAGCTGTTAGGTTCAGGTGTCTCTGGATAAACACTGACATGCGTTTCAGGTCACTCCTCTGGTTTCTTTGTTCTTATATCCCTAGATCTTCCCATATTCTCATTCTCTTTTATATTCATTCTCATTCTCTCTCTCCCTCTCTTTCTCTCTATTTTTGCTTCTTGGGAGAGTTCTGTTCAATCTTTAGGGTCTCAGTGTGCCCAGCATTGGGTTTGGAGACCAAATCATCATCACTCTGTATATTATGGCAAATAAGAAATTAGCTTTGCTCTAAAATCCACCTCCTGAGACCCTAAATGAGCTCTGTGCTGTGTGGTTGTTCAATCTTACAGGTAAGCACTGGCTTCTGACCCTGGAATGTGGAACACATGGCTAGCCTACTCTGGAACAGACAGCTACCACACACACACACACACACACACACACACACACACACACATACACACGCACACATACCCATGCCCACAGCTGTAGAGGCCCCTGGAGTAGTCCAGGGTAGGGTTTAGGAAGGTTCTGGGTGCTGGTGACACTAGCTAAGCTGAACACTCAGAGAGACATCAGAGCCTTCATGGTGGCGGGAATTGTGGGTGATTACTTTATCCTCCAGCAACTAATTATGCACACCAAAGACTTACCTGCCTTCAGAATAGAAAGCAATGACATTTAAAGTAGATTAAGTAGATTTTCTTTTATTGCTGTAATGGTTCCCGGGCAACATTTGCTTTTGCTTTTCCATCTAGAAGAAGTGATCAGAAAATGATTAGACTTTTCTCCTACAGATGAAAATTCGGATTTTACATTTGTGCTGTTTTATGAGCTGAAACTATTTTAAGAGCCAATTTATAGCTTTCTCTACTAAAAATTAGATTAAAAAATAAGGTGTATAGCCGTTGTAGAATGCCATTGCTCATTTACCTTAAGGCAACATGTGGTGTTTACCGTATCGTTATAAAAAGAATTAATTCTAATTGAATATCACCTAGCTGCATTATTTCATTCAACAAAAGCAGAAGGCAGCCATCGTCTGTAGGACTCTGAGGCCACTGGGGCATTGCTCAGGGCATCCCCATGGCTCAGACAGCTGCTAGCCACTCCCTTCACATTCTCATATCAAGGAACTGCCCTGGTGAACAGCTTTTCCCTCCTGACATCGAAACTTTGAGAGCACTGAGGCTACTTATCTCCCACTCTCATCCTGGAGAAACCCATGAGAAATGCTGTTGTGTAATCACACCAGAACTTTCCATGTAGTCCAATCCCCAACAAAGAGCATTGGGTAGGCATTAGCTCCCAACACCCCTTATCTTCACACCCAGGTTACACAGAAGAACTGAGCAACTGTGGACCACCAGGCAGAAGCCTATTATCACTTAGAAGAATAAACATTCATTCTCTTCTCATCCCTCAAAGCAAAGCATTATATTGTTTAGTTCCATAGGGCCTGCTTTTGTCTTCAGAAATAATGTTGTGTTGTTCCTGGTCCTGATACAGGAACCTACGGGCATGGATTTGCCACTGCTGGATCCTGCAAGTACCATCACCACTGTCACGGGACCGAGCGCCTTCAGCATCCCTCTCCCGATCCGGCAGAAGCTCTGCAGCAGCCTGGATGCACCACAAACTCGAGGCCATGACTGGAGGATGCTAGCCCATAAGCTCAACCTGGACAGGTGAGTATACAGCCAGCCTCTAGCATGAGTTTCTCTGTTAGACATGAGTCTCTAGGATTGACAACTGGTAGACCTTGGGCAGCAGTCCTCTCTTCTCATCCATTCTTCTATTTACTTTCTCAGTCCTAACTACTGTATCTTAATCTCCTTGTTTGTTTCCTTAAGCTTGCAAACAAGGTGTTAAGTGAGATTCTGGATCTGACATTTCTAAGTATGCAGGTTCATGCTCCACTTTGCCAAGTTGATCAGCTAAATCCACTCCAAATAACAAGAGACATGGCATCACGTCCACCATGGTCTTGTCCACGACCACCAGAGCCTGCGCCTGAAAGAAAATGTTAAGTATCTGGGCTACTTATGCAGTATAAGGACTCATCAACAGCTTATGTCTTACATTATTTTAGTTTTGAGGCTATCTTATGGTCTTTTGTTGCCTTAATTCTGAGGTTAACGAAGCTAAACATTGCATCTCCTGTCTGGGACTGATCAAGGCAAGTGTGGGCCAGTTATTTAGGACAGCCCATGGTAAACCACAGTGGACTAGGCTAGTTTGAGCCAGATGGCTTAGTCCTGTAAAAACACAAAAGAAAACAGATCCCTAAATCATGCCATTCAGCATATTTTCCCTTTGCCCAATACAGGTACTTGAATTACTTTGCCACCAAATCAAGCCCAACTGGTGTAATCCTGGATCTCTGGGAAGCACAGAACTTCCCGGATGGAAACCTGAGCATGCTGGCAGCTGTCCTGGAAGAAATGGGAAGACACGAAACAGTAGTGTCGTTAGCAGCAGAAGCGCAGTATTGACCACGCAGGAGGCAAAAGTAGACACACACAGGGAGTCTGTGGTCGCCCAGGGGTGTCACAGCACAAAAGGACATCGGACCAATGAGCTTCACAGGCCAGATCCCAGTAGGAAGAGAGAGATGAAAACCAGATACACCTTCTGATATACATGCCCACTTTCCTCGGACAGCATTGCCGGAGTTAAGCAAAATTGTGTAAATTTGTACCTTGAATTTAGAAACCAACCTAATTTTCCTCTTAGTTGGGCTGTATGCTGTGTGGTACAGGATCTTACAGTTTCCTAGGAAACGCTTTTTATTGCTATCCAGATGTATGGATAAACTTTCTTAACAAACCCAATTTCTACAAACGTTGTTTACATCGAATTGGACAGGGATGCAGACACTGTCCATGGCTCGTTCTATTTTTGTTCAAATCATTTGAAGTTGAAGCTGTGGACGGGTTGTTGTGTCTATTTCAGATTAGTAATTTACAGAGAAGTCACAGACTTTTGCTACAAATCATGTGCATCGAGTGTCTCGGATAATCCTCCATCCATGTTCTGTTTCTAGGACTTGTAGAACCAGTATTACTGTTTGTATCAGGGAAGTGGAGAATTTAAGTGTCAGGGAGAAAGGATTAAGACTCCTTGTTCCTCCGGGGAGGCTTGCCTGGTGCCCTTCGAGAATCAAACTGTAGCGTTGCAGGGAAGAATGTGATTCACATCCAACCATATAGACAAGCATTCCTCCGCATCACGTATGTCATAGGCAGTTGGCAGTGGTGTTTGCTTTTTTAAAAGATATCATTATTATTATTACCCTTACTGTTGCTATTGATGTATATTTACAAGTATTCTAGCAAAAAGATTTTCTTTCAACTTCTTTTTTTTTATTAGCAGTTCTGTTAGTAGTTGGGAATTGACTGGACCTGCCCTACCTTCTCACAGAACAGGGTGGGACTGATCACCATTTGAACAGACCTTGCTTCCTTGACCTTTGACCCTTCTACCTGTCTGCAGTGGAAAGACAGGAAATGATGACTGGTTTGATCCATGTTTTCTTTTCAACTTGCTTAGTCAGGCTCTTTCTCCTCTAGGTCTTACCATGAGAAGTATAGCATGTGGTCATCAGTGTTGACTCCCTACCATGGGCCTCTATCTTTAGGGCTAAGGGAAGAGGACCAGTTCCTAAGTTGGAATCAGGGTTTAATACCGCTGAGCTGCGCCACTTTGGGAGCATTTAGCCTTCCTGGATTTGAAGTTCTGCAGTAAATGAAGGTGGAAGTGTGTCATCTCAAAGTCCTAGGATGCTGTCTTTTATTGTCATGCTTCCATTCTCATGCCTTGTTTAAAAACCACAGGACTCTGGCCTGGTTTCTTCAAATAATTAACTAGTCTTTTGTCCAGGCTACATTATGCCTTTCAAAGAGTTCTGGTGTGGAAACGAATTATACTTAATAGCAATATACTTTGACTGTGTTTCAAATCTTGATTTTATTTCACCTCATTCCAAAGTTCACTAAGAGATGGCATCCCTTGCTTCCTTTCTTTCTCTCTCTCTCTCTCCTTCTTTCTTATTCTCTCTTGGGACTCACTCACTTTCCTGACTGTTGTCCTGGCTTCTTCATATTAAAACAAGTTTATCTGCAAGTATCAACTAGGTGCATTTGTCCTCTCTCACTAATTTTTGCTTTCATGCTATTGGGTACTGTACACACAGGTTATTCATTAGCCCTTTTATACTACAAAATGTTGGTCAACAGACTTTTTATAAACTATGACACTCCCTCGGGACCATCACAGGCTGCTTGTTTTAACAGAGGGACTCCATTCTTCACTGGCGAATGAAGAGTCAACAGTCTAATGACCAAACTAAGACTGAATACGAAGCATGCATGTGGATGAATCAAAAATCTCCCAAGCATGACTGTGGCTTACTTTTGGGCTGGAAGTATCCAGGTTGCTGACAGTGTTTTAATAGAAATCACTTATACATTTTCTCTAGACTTTCCAAATGTAGTTCTTACTTTGGTGATTTCTTGGTAAGCTCAGACTCCTTCAGTCTCTCCATTGAAGAGGGAACTGTGCTATCTTTCTAGGGAATCTCCTCTTCTATGCTATTCATTTCTTATCTTCTGGTTTAGCCATGTATTTTTTAATTGTCTCTCAGGATGTCCCAGCCACCACTGCGTTACTATTTCCATTTGCGAAAGTATTCATCACATTCACTGTATTTGTAAGTTCAATGGATAAGGTTTGTACCAATGAAAAAAATTGTACTCTAAATCTTAAAACAAATTTAAATATACGTATATTTTTAAATGAAGGGTAAGGAGTATTGTCCATTGCTACATCTTAAAATAAATTTAACCTGGCATGATTACTCATCAGTGCTGAGATTACAGAATCAACTATGGAAATCACCAACTAAAATCTAAACTGAATTCTCAAAAGGAACTTCTACTGCCATCGATATATTGGGGAAGCAAATATGAAGTTATCCTGATGCATCAGTTTCAAACATTTGCTAAAAGCTTTGATAAAAGAAGCCACCAACAGAGAAATACTGAGTGTAACAGCAAATGTAATCTGGAAGCTACTGAGGGCCCTTGGGGTTCAATTTAGAGGTTTGTTTTGCATTGAAGACACCCTTCCCCAACCGGAAGTGGGGGAAAATGGAGAGATTCCTTGTGAGGGTCTCATCTCTCCCAGGACCCTGTGAAGCTTGTCATCAAGTGAATGGCAATTCCCTAGGTGTAACACAGCATTTATGCCAAATCATTTTTACCGTGGATTTTGAATTTCTTCTCCATTGGAGTGAATTAATAGCTGTTAGATCACTCTCAAACCTCAGAAGGTTCAAACGTGGTAACTCATTTCGCAGGGAGCCACTTCATTCTTTGAAGAATGCTCTGCTTCAATGCAGCTTCAGAGGACAGGCAGGCTTGCTCTTGCCTGATGACAGAAAAACTATAATTTGTGCATGGAGCCATCTAGTGGCCGAGTTTCATACAAAATTCACAAAAAGCTTGACAAATGTGGGAAATGTTCCCTTCAAGTATTAATTTTCTTATTCTCACACTCGTTTCACTTAAATCATGTTTCAAAACTACATATGTAATTACACCATTAATTCATTCATATGCATATTAAGTTGTTTGCTTGTACTAGAAAGACATGAAATCTGTATTCGTCTTTGAAGAACTGTCATTTTTAATGTAGTTTTCAGTGGGCTTCGAATATTTTAAATCTCCTTACTTTTAGTTCCCCACTATGAATCTTTGGAAATGATAAAAGCTTCCACCTGGAAAGAAGTCTGACCTGCATGAGCAAATGGAATAACATGTCCAAGGAAGGGCAGGTGACTGCTAGGAGCTAAAGAGAAGAAAGCAACATCTCTTGCGAGTTTAGACTCTGAAAAAAGAGGTTTCACCCTATTACCATTCTCTTCTTGTCACATACATTCAACTTCCGTTAAAGTGGTCTGGAAGAAGGTGCATTCAGGATTGGTCATGGGGCACACAGCAGTGACAGTAATACCACCTCTCCACCTTCTCACAAACCCTACCGTCCAACAAGGACACTCACCTGAATTACCAGAAAATGTCCATCTTCACAGGGCCAGGTGTGCAATACGAATCTGCAAAGCTTTAGCCATTTTCCTATGTGCTATTACTTTATAGGTTTGAAGCTCTGAACTACCAAATATCCGAGCCATTGACTAGGGACCAGGTCACAGAGACCGAGTTCAGCATGCTCTGAGGACCATGCTTGTGGTCATCTTGAAAAGGTGTTTCTCCTGTAAGTAATGTTTCTTTGACATAAACATCCAAGGGCAAAACCAGCACTCTTCTCTGAAGCATCCTTCTGTGTATCCAGGAACACAGCAGCTGTGGTCTTGGTCCACTTGCTCCTCTCTCATCAATGAAGAGGGCCACTAAAGTCAGTGTTAATACCCTGGATTTCCAGGCATTTGCCTCTACAAGGCCTGTCCCTAAAGGCCCCAGCAAACTGAAGACTGTAAAAAGACCTGCAAGTGTGACAAGAAAAAGGTTTCTTTTCAGTCTCCAAATTGAATGAGAATTTGAGATTTGCAGGCAATTGTTCTGGACAAATCATCACTTTTACAAGGAGCGCTCAGTGCTTGCCCAAGGCCAGGGACAGGAGGAGCATGGGAACACAGCGCAGTACAGAGCAGGCTTCTTCTGTCTTCTTTGACCACATAGGAGCTTTTGTCAATCAGAGCATCATTGCTCGAAACCAACTATTTGTAAAGATGCTGGTCAATGAGCATTAGATTTTATAGATCCAATAAGGAAGAATATTTTTATTATTATCTCAAGGTAATAAAACATTTTTTACCCTTCGAGTGCCTCATAGGACCAACGACTATATTTTGACTTTGCTTTGTATTATTTTTATATTTTTTAACCTTACTGAGCTAATGTTGACTGAAATCCTTAGAACTTTGACGCTGTACAATGAATTCCTGTTTCACTACCCTAAGAGATCTGTTTGTATCATTTCTGGCTACAATGATCACTTTGAAAGATGTCCTTTGCATCTCTGATATTTAGTGGCATAGGGAGAATGAGAACCTTGTAACCAATGCTAATTTAATCCTGTGTCCACACAGGCCAATTAAGCCAAAAGAAGTCATAAATCTTCCTACAATTCTGGTTTGAAGATATATTTTTAAGTAGTAGGAATATGACCATTTTATGTCACTGGGCGGGTTATCTCTAGAGGCTAATATTGAACTCCCCGATCCTGTATTCTTGTTCTTTTCTGGTTGCTCCCATTCTCAGAAACCCTCCATGCACAGTCTGTCATCAGAAGAGCTGGCACTCCCAGGTTTTCCAGTGGGCTTGTCACCTCCCTGGACTGACTTATAGTGGGATGTTACTGGGTTCATTGAACCAAATATAATGGATGTCTCAGATCTATGTAATTGCTGTCACAGGCTCCTAGTGAACACACCAACAGGAACTCTACACAAATCTAAGCAGCGAGACACCTAAGAGCCCAGCCCATGTATACTCAGATTCGTGCATACTAAATGGATCTGCCTAGAGATCTACTAGTATTCCAATTTGTCGAATCTCTGCAGAACACCATGAATTCAGACTTACTAATTGTCAGGTAAAAAACAAGAAAGTTATTCTGAGATAGTCATATTATTTGCTAATGTATACAATCAGCCTTCTGAAACACCATTTTAAATGTTTGCTTCACCAAAACTATAAACTGTGAAGTCAAAACACTTCAGGGCCCCAAAATTCTGTTTTATGGTTAAATTACAAAGGTCTAATGGATGAGCACTATTACATCTGCTGTTGAACCTGACAGCACTGACCCAGTGAGGACTAACACAGTACTGGCTTGAGAATGGGAATTGTAAGCAGATTCTGCATCAGAGCAGCCTAGAGGTGGATGAGCTCTTGGGCTCTGATCCCCAGCACCACAGGGATGCAACATCAGAGAACCACAGCCAGCATCACACTCCCGAGGTTACACCAAGACTGTTTTTAACAGCATAAAAGAACAAGAAATCTGCAGCCAGGGGAAAATGCCATTGCCCTTTTATGTTCTCCCAGTCATTAATGGCATCTGTAAATGTAGGGATATAAATTCAGTTGTATCCTCCTCCAGACCCTGGGAAACAAAAAAAGGACAGAGATCACAACAGGTTAAACACATGGTACTCTCTCTTTTGCCCTTTCCTGGCCCCAGTATCTGCAGTGCAGCCCTCACCCTCAGACAGATGCACTGAGCCCAAGAGCAGGGAACATCGTCATTGTGTGTGGGTTCCCGATGC